CCCCCCCTCCCGGCACACCCCAAAGAACAAAATCCAACATTCAAAGTTTCACTGCGGAATCCGACAGATCTCGGCAAGCGCAGTCGGATCCCGCGAAGAAAAATAAAAAATAAAAAAAATGGGCATTTTTTTGGGCCATCCGGTTTGCCGGTTCGACGGGGCCAGCTCGACCGGCCGGTTGCCGGCCCAGCCCTGATTCAGATGCATTAATACACTCATTAACAATGGAGAACTTAGGGAGAGTTCAAAGGATGAGTGCATCGAATGCAGGATTTCACAATTGGCCCAGACAACAAAAAAGGAATGAAAAACCATTCGTGACAATTGGCTGGATCACACACGTGGCAAAACAGAAGTTCCACCAAGTAAGGTTCTGGCCATCAGGCTGACGTTCAATCGCACACATCCTCTGGCAAAAGTTATGCAAATCAGTGATAAGCAACCGCTACCATTCAGGCTGGACAGCGAAGTCGTAAATATAACCTATACGGGAGGCCGGCGGAGGTCGGACGCCACCAGACCAAAATGGCTGGCGGCAAAGCCAAAACAACACAGGACAAAAAGGTCGAGCTGGTGCTTCGGCAAAAGCTTGGCGCGCAGTTGTACTCCACCTCGGCAAAAAGAGGCTCGGTGGTAGTAAAGGGGAAAAAACAACCGGCATATTTATACGAGTCGACATGGTAAAAAATTGCATGCGTATGCGTTGACGACAAAACTCAATGAGAACAAGGGGGAAAGAAATAAGGAAAGAGCGTGTCCATGCACATGCACGCACATTTCACAAAGTGAGCACTGCACCAAACTGATAGGGAGAGCAACACTGAATCCACAATCGCAAAGGGCAAAGAGTAGCTCAAAGCCTCAAACAAATTCAGAAATTCTTCACGAAGACGCTTCGAATTCCCCGCGTTTCAACTCATCACCACCGAGATGGACAGCACCAAGTTCCTATGCTCTTGAAAACCTCACGCCAACAGCCTCTCTGGACTAAAAACCGCATACAAACTGTCCATCACTACGCACATCATGCCATAAACAATCCTGTCACCCCATTTGAATCACCAGCTCGTCAGGCCTGTTCAAGCTTCTGGATCCCTAGCACGGATCTGATCGCCCCGGTTAGGGGATTCTGCATACAGGGCCTATATACTACCAAATGGGCAGTCAATCCACAGACAAACAAAAAATGACACAGCAAATTGATCTTGACCGAGTATAGACTTGGTGAATAGGAGGGGGAACAAGGGAGCCCTCAGAGACAGCAAGAGCAGGTAGGTAGGGGCAAAATGACCAGCGGTAGGATTCTGTAGGAAATGCATGCATGGACCACAAAAAAGTGGAGGACTTGGCCCAACTCCGACACCCGTTAACAGAGGGAACACGGGAAGAGACGCATGCGAAGTGGAAGAAAAAAAGTGTGCGAAAAGAGGCACGGGGAGAAAGCCTGCAAAGAGAGCAAAAGCATGCGTAAGCATGATTGCCAGGAAGCAAGGAGTCGGCCAAGGAGAAACAATGTCAGACGAAGAGTCAAGAATGAGACACCTGAAAACTGTCATCCCAGAAAGTGGCGGTGGTGAGAGCCCTGAAATTACCGACCTCTCCTTTACAAGTGCACGAACTTCTCAAGTGCAAAATGCAAAAAGAAAAACCAAATCCAGGCAAAATTGAAATACAAAATAGGATACAAGAGAGACCATGAGAACCACCAGCCCAAAATGTGCTGTTCAGGAGTCCACGCTGCACGAGTCCTAATTGTCACAGCATAACAGCCATGCCAGTTCCTCTAGGGTTGGGCAGCAAAAGAGCATCAAGAGACTGTGAAAGACAAAGGATCTATGGCAAGTTGCACACTTCTTTCTCTCACACACACACACACACACACACACACACACACACACACACACACACACACACACACACACACACACACACACACACACACGCGCGCGCGCGCGCGCGCGCACATACCAAAAAAAAGCATCTAAAGAAAGAACCCATCTATCGCCCAATGGTAATGGCCTTATCTCCTCCGTAGTAGTACTGTGTCGATTGGTTTGTGATGGAGAATCCCATCTCCAGTGCTGTGTTATGCATGGAGTTCGGACAGAAGGCACTCACAGTGCTGTAATGGGTCGTTGCCAAGGAGTTTATGCAACATTCAAAGAGGTCAAAACTGGAATCTTGGGCATGCAAAAAATGTGGGAAGCGTAGGCATGAAAATTCTTTGCCGAGAGGATATCCTTTCGTTTTTTTTTGTCTTTTTTTTAACCAGCATCGATCTGCTCGAGGGAGTGGTATGAGCATCTCTCTCTAGTAGGCCTGGCACAGGGCCACCATAATCGGGACATGTGGGACACGATCTGGAATAAGTGGAGAGGTGAACTGGTATGGCCATGAAGCTCGAAGGTGATCCT